CAAGATATTCTAAGCACACCCTCATGACAGAATCTGAGGTTGAAAAACATAAGTGAAAGCTATTGTATGAGCACTGGTGCTGAGATCTCATTAGCTAAACAAGTCAAGTATCCAAACTCATAATCAAGCAGTGGAGGAATTAGACTCCACAACTCTAGTGAGGTAACACAACATATCGAAGGACATAAGGACAGAGAGAAATGAACAATTATACCCAACAATAAAATTAACGTACCACAATTAATTTTGGCCACAATTATTCACATCCCTTTTACAGACAAAACAAAAAAACAACAAACACTCATTCACTACCAAGACCAACAAAGGTCTATTTAATCAGATCAAGTTCAAAGTATAGGATTTCATTACCAACATTAAATACAAAGGAATCTCATCTTAATCCTGGGAAATTATAAACTGAAAAACAACACCCACAAACCAAAAGTATGTAATGGTGAGAAAGAGGCAGAATAACTAAATAGAGATGAGTAATAGCAGGTACCGAGCAGTAGCTTGGCCAATGCAATATTTTTTTGTTGTTAAACCTCACCCAAGGATATTTTTTCCATTGATTTTTAGAGAGAGAGGAAGGGAGTGGGAGAGAGAGAAACATCAATGATGAGAGAGAATCACAGATCGGCTGCCTCCTGCACGGCCCCCACTGGGGATGAGCCCACACCCCGGGCCTGTGCCCTGACCAGGAATCCAACCGTGACCTCCTGGTTCACAGGTCGACGCTCAACCCCTGAGCCACGCCGGTCGGGCGGTCATTGGATTTTAAGAGACCTTCCGACCTCTCGGTCCCCCTGAGAAATGAGTTAGAGCCCAGTTTTCTACATCCTGGCTCTAGCTGTGTGGCCTTGGGCAAAAGACACACCCTCTCTGAGCCTGGTGAGCCTGGTTCCCTCTCTAAGAGGTGGATGACGACGTCTCTCTTTCCGAGAATTTAATGAGGCTGAAAACGGACCGTTCCTCAGCCCAGTACCCCGTGGTCTGGCCGGCCTGCCCGCTGGAGGCCACGCCCCCAGCCCGTTACCTTCTGCTCCAGCGTCCTCTCCAGGGCGTCCACCCGCAGCTGCTCCTTCCGCAGGCTGGCCTGGGAGGCGGCCTGCTCCTGCTGGGCCTTGCCCCGGACCTGGGCAATCTCAGCATTGGCCCTGCGGGGTGGGGGCACTCAGGACGACCACATTCCCCCGTTTCGGCCTCCCCCTCCCTCCTCCCAACCAGGCGGGGGGACTGTCTGGCTCCAGCTCCCACCTACAAAGGCCCAGCACGGGCCCACGAGACACCCCGTCCCGACCCCGCTATCCCGAAGCCGAGGGGCTTTGGTGGGCGCCCCGGCCGCACCCTTTGCTTCTCACAGCCCACACGGTGCCAGCTTATCACGAACCAGGCTGGACTGTACTGAGTGACGCACCCTGACCCGGGCCGTGTCGGGCCCCCCGGTACCTGTCCAGCTTCTCCTCCGCGTGCACCTTCAGGGCCTGGTACCTCTGCTCCTCCTTCCTCACGCGGGACAGGTACTCCTGGGCGCACTTCTTCAGCACCTCTTCATTCTGCCACGACAGAGCCGACGCTCAGCCGCAGAGCCACGCCGGCTGGGCGGGCATGGCGTTTTAAGGGACAGGAGGTCCGTCAGGCCTGTGGGTCCCCCTGAGAAATGACTGGGAGCCAAAATAATCTATCTACATCCCAGCTCTAGCTGTGTGACCTCGGGCAAGTGACACACCCTCTCTGAGCCTGGTTCCATCTCGAGCCCACGGAGGAAATGCCGCTGGGAACCCCAGGAACTCTGACGAGGGCGTTAACTCAGACGCCAATCCGACTCCCCCGCCCCCCGCCTCCTCTCTCCCCGACCGTGTGCGCACGCACCGCGCACGCACCGCGCACGCACCTTGCGGAAGCCCTCCAGCACCTCCTTCATCTTCTCGTATCTCCGGAAGAGGTCGGCCAGGGACTTCTCCACGGAGTTCAGGTCGGCCAGGGCCTGCTCCTTCTCCAGCACCAGCTGCTGCACCGTCTGGTGGGAGACCGACTTCTCCCGCTGCTCGTCCTCTGGCGGGAGAGAGGCACGAAGCCATGGGGCCCACGGGCCGGGCCTGGTGTGGGGGCC